TAGTCCTAAGTGTCTTAGAAGCTACAGAGCCTCAAATGACGTCTGGAGAGTAAGGCTCTTAAAATAAAGAATAACATTTAAGTGCATAGCTATTACAGCTTCATTTGATATTCATTTTAATTGCAACGACTATAATGAATATACTTTGCATTCAAACAGATGCCAAAGAGTGCGTCTGAAGAAGTTCCAGTATAATTCAGTCTTAGTTACAGAATGACTAAGTGGATATTTAAAATCAGACGTTACCATGAAAGAGGAAAGAAACAATTATAGCAAGTGTTAGTTCCTTAAAACAACTAATTAAAGATTTTTATTAAATTCTCTTCTTTCTTAGTTTGACTGCTGCAGACTCTGGTCCACAGGGAGCTTTGACATGCTAGCCACTGCTGCATGTCTGTCACTGTGCTTCATAGTAGCTCACCCAGGATGGAGCAAAGAGGAGTGGGGGAAAGGACACTGGAGAATAGGCAGAAATCCACTTTGCAATGTCTAGAGATTATTCCATCAACTGGATTAAAAACAACACTGTATTAAGTGCGATTTAGCTGAAAAAAAAAGCAGTCAATTACGTATGCCATTTTAATTTTAGTTGTCCAGAGAATCCTTATTTCTTTTAGTCCTCTCCAACATAAAGGACTAACTACTTAGATTTAAACAGGAGAAGCACACATGCCATAAACGGTGTTTCCCAATAATGGCTCACAAAACAACCTGTGAATGTTTGCTGAAAGCAGTCATAACCAAATCCCAACCAAATCCCATCAAAACCTGTGTGAAGGGCCCTGGAATCAGTATTGTGATAAGCAACCCAAAAATGTACATGCTTGTTCCTGTTTAAGGAGAAATGTTAATGGGTTCATAAAGGAATATTTGAAGCTATGCACTTTCATTCAAATTAGCAAGTATGTATGAAGAACAGATCCTGTGTGAATGAAAAAATGATAGGGTATTTCGGCAGAAGAAGAGGCAGAAACAATGTAAGAGTCAGAGGGGATGGAGGATACCAGGAGACTAAGGCCTTGGAAGTCAAGTGAACAAAGCTTATTGTACTCATGGAGAGTAAAACAGCAAGCACAGGGCCTGCAGGGATCTGCACTGGGTCCTGGTCATGTATATTATAGCTTTCAATTTAGTATTTTCATGGGATTCCTGAGTGTGTGATTGACTGGGTGTCGGATCCTTGTACCTGCTCTTGGGCTCTTTTTCTTCTGTTGGGCTGTCTTGTCCAGCTTTGATGGGACTGTTTTTGTGTTATCTTATTATATTTTATTTTGTTATATTTGTTCTCTCTAATGAGAGACAGAAAGGGAGTGGATCCTGATGGGTGGAGAGGTGGTGAGCAACTGGGAGGAGTAAAGGGAGATGAAACTCTTATCAAGAGGGAGAAAAAAATATGTTTTTAATAAAAGAGGAAGAAAGGAAAGAATAATAGGGTGCTTCTAAAATGCCCAGTGCACATGATGATAATTTTCAAAAAACATTTTAGGTATAATGACAACCTATAATTGTTTTAAAACAGAATGTTGGATTCTCTGAAAATATAAGTAAAATATTGCATTTATTGTGAAAGTTAGAAATTCACTCTTGGTTTCCATCAAGTAGTTATTTCCTGAAAAGGTCATCTGGAGGTCAAAGGGAAAAGTATCTACTTTATTTTAGAAAATGTAACTTACTATAAAACAAATTTATTGTTATAGTTTTGCCCATGGCTCTGATGAAATATCTTCACAAAAAGCAACAAAAGGGAGAAAGGGCTTATTTGGCTCACAGTCAAGGTTACAGTCCATCATTTCAGGGAAGTGAAGGCAGGAGCTTGGAGCAGCTAGTCATATCCATCCACCATCAAGAGTTAGGGGCAATGAACTAACCCGTGTTCAGAGTGGTTAGCTCTCTCTGCTCTCATACAGTTCAAGATCTCCTGCCTAGGGAATGCTGCCACCCACAGTGGGGAGCTCTTCCCTCTTCCCTCAAGTGAAAAACCAATCACTATCAACTCCCACAGACCAACCCTGTCCATATAACCTCTCATTTATATTCCCTCTGAAGTGATTCTAGATTTTCAAGTTGACAGTTAAAACTGTCACATTTCTCTTATTTTCCTAAGCTTTGTATATCATACACTATATAAAAGAGAGCAAGAGGGATGGGAGATTCCTTGTGTGGCTGATAGAAAAATATTATTAGTGAAGGAAAGAGGGAAGGCTACCTATTAAACCAAGAGAAATAAAGGTTAGTTGCCTTAAAAACCCTTAAATCAGTTCTCCTGGCACCTAAACTGTAAGTTATTAGTATACTTATTTGACAGCTCTCCTGCATTTTTAAAAAATACTATTATATTTTAACTACTAGAGAAATTTGATAATGAAAATTTGACTATACCAATGAAAGTGCCAAGATTTCTTTCTGATGAGCAATTTGTCCCACTCTTCTCCCATTCCAGGACTGGAGACTAATTAACTGAAATCTGTGAACAGAGCCTCTGTGAAGAGCACTCACTCATGAAACAGAGAAAAACAAGCTGATGAGATTCATTAATGACTCTTTCTGCCCTTGGTTTTTCTACAGTCATTGGCTAATACTTGCTAGCAATGCAAGCAGGGTCCAGTAAAAATTTCTGAGAGCAGTCAAGGGTAACAGAAACACCTGTTGGACTGTGTAGAACTCTCAATTTCTCAGAGTTGGTCTCCAGCCCATTCAGATGTGACATCATCTGAGAAATCATATATCTGCTAGAACCACTAAGCAAAATGCCAGAGGCATGCAGGAAGCTGAGCAGTGAGAATGTGTTCCCTTGTTGTTCAGGAGGAAAAAAGCCTAAGTTCAAGGAGCTGGTAAATTTAGTTTGGCATGCCATGGGCCTCCTTCCCATGTCCATACATGGCAGAGAGAGAGGGGCAGAGATAAAGAAGAAAGAGAGAAGGGAGAGAGAGACAGATAGGGAGAGAAAGTGTGAGGGAGAGGGAGGTTGAGAGAGAGAGAGAGATATAACTTTAATCTTCTGTAAAGCTACCAATCCAGTTGGGATTAGGACATCTCCATTCTGACTACACTTAATAATATTATCAACTATGAGCCATATCTCCAAATACAGCCATTTGGGGAACGAGGGCTTCCACATATGTATCATTGAGAAACACAGTTCATTTCATGGCACTCAAAATAAATGTGTACTTTCAACCTCATTTTAGATCCATTGTATCAAAAACACAGGGAGTGGAGCCTGACAGCTCTGCTTTCCTAAGTTCTGTGTGTTGTTCTCAAGCACATGCGGGCTCAGAAACACATAGACTCACAAGGACAGGTGGGGACTCAGTCCACAGCACAGCATTTACTTGCATCCAGACCCATGTCCATACTCACTTCCCAAGCCAGGGCTTCTGAACAGCACCAGAAGAGTCATTCACACCACATCTACTGCCATTCATTCCCAAGTATCAACCTGGGAACTTCTTTTTGCTTTTTCAGTGACACACTGCTTCAACATGCCAACCATAATCATCTTTCTGCCAAACAATACAATATCTAATTTTCTAAACCTATCATTTTTATATTTTCAGATTTTACTCTTCTAGAGTCCATGGTGTACACTATAAACACACTAATAGCACAAGGCTTTGCACAGGAGAAACACACAATCACGAAATCATCTATATTTTGTCTCTAACTCTTCTCCACAAGCAGTTACCAAAGAATGCTGATCTAATCCAGTATTGATTTAGGGTAGCACATAGCCCACTACTCTTTGACACAATGCAATGACATAGTAATGCTTATTAATTAAAAATATACCATTCATGCCGGGCGGTGGTGGCGCACGCCTTTAATCCCAGCACTCGGGAGGCAGAGCCAGGCGGATCTCTGTGAGTTCAAGGCCAGCCTGGACTACCAAGTGAGTTCCAGGAAAGGCGCAAAGCTACACAGAGAAACCCTGTCTCGAAAAACCAAAAAAAAAAAAAAAAAAAAAAAAAAAAAAAAAAAAAAAAAAAAAAAAATATACCATTCATGTCTTTACATGCCATAGACCTCATAGATGCCTAATACAGTACCTCACCAAAACAGACATTCTTTTCCCAATTGAACAGAAAAAAACATGGGAAAGTGAGGCCAGATAACAAGGGATCCATAGTAGAACATTGTCACTATAGTCTGTAATAGTTATATTACATTCTTGAAAATTGTTCTTGCCACAAAAAGGTAAGGTACACATAGGCAAATTAGCATGATTTAGCCATTCTGCAATCATATTTCAAAATACATTTCTCCTGATAAATAGATAACAGCTTTACTTACTGCATAAGATAGGCAAATACACAGGAGTTCAACTTCAATGAACATCCCAAAGATACATCTGGAAAACCTCACAGTTGCAAATCTGAAGGCACTGTTCCCTTCACTCAAGGCTCGTGCTCACTTTTGGTGCTGTGTTGGGGACCAAAGAATGCATATCTTTGCCCACATCTTAAATTTAGTGTCATGCCCCACCCCCAACACATGAGGTGTTCTTGCGGAGAATGTATTTTGAGTATAACTTTGGGGGCTTCTTTGTTCTCTAAACCCCCAAACAGTCTTGTGCACACACATACACTATATATTAGAAAAATAGACTGTCATGATAGGAACTTCAGGGAGGGTTTCTTAAGACAGATACCATTAAAGAACAGCAAAGAGCCCTAAAAATCTCTTGCTGCTTTATACCAGATTTCCTGGCAGACAGCCTTCAGAAGGCTTTCATCTTTACGTTAAAGACACCAGAGGAACTCAAAGAGCAACACTTGAAAGCTCACAAGGAGCTCTGACAAACTTTTGCCCAAGGCAACTGCTTGATGAACAAGCATTAACAGCACACCTTGTATATGTGCATAAAACCAAAAAAAATCCATAAACTTAAAATAATGGAATTGCTTTAAAATCCATGCATTCTGAGCTTCACTGTGCAGAAAACATTCCGAAAGATTACAATGGACTTATTTACAGCCATCTGCACGTTAAAGACCAATGACTGGACAAGAAGACGATAAGCCACACCTGTTGGATTGTTCAGGCAATTGCAAACACCAGCTGAGAGAGTAATTAAAAACGATGTTCCATCGCAGCCTACCTGGAGTGTTCAACAACCTGGACATCTTGCAGAAGTAGGAGACGTACTGCTCACAGTATTCGGCGCTGCTGGTGATGGCACTGATCTGGTCCATGGAGGCACTGTAGATGAGCTGTGTCACCGAATACTTTTCTGGGTTGTAGCCTACCACTGTTGTCTGCATCTGTAAGTCGTGAGACACTATGGTCCACACCTTGTCCTCTGTGGGCAGAGAGATAATTAAGACAGTGGCTCATTAGTACTCCCATACTCCTTCAAACATCAGAAGATAACTGAGCTACATTTCAGTTGCTATTTTCATTAAATTGGTATAAACTGGAATGAGAGGGAGCAGTTCTGACAGTATTTTAATGTGTGTGCGTGTGTGTGTGTGTGTGTGTGTGTGTGTGTGTGTGTGTGTGTGTGTGTGTGGTTATACATGTGTGTCTGTGTGTTGTACGCACATGTGTATGTGTGTGCATGCCTGCAAGTGCAGAAGAGGGGCATGTCAAGTGTTTTCCTCCATCATTTCCTACTGTACTTTTTAAAAAAATGCTTTTGTAGTACAGATCTACTTACACAGCCAAGATCTGACAACTTTTTTCTTTAATCACTTAATTGCAGTGAACTCAGAAGTAAAAACATCACTCTGCTGGATTAAGAAAGCCACTCAAACACTTGCCCATGCCTAAACTCTGTACATCTGGATGGACTTCTGTCTATTCAGAATAGCCTTTCTGAAGCAATGGAGCTTTGCTTAGTGTTTTATATTTTCATTTTAAATTACATTTTGATTCACTTATCTAGCACAAAAAAGGGAAAAAAATCTATGCAAAATTGAAGCTAGAAAAACAATTAGCTTTATGTCCTCTTCCACAACTGTGTGTCCTTTTGTCTATATTTTGTCCTTCCTTGACACCAAATAGTACTTTTCCTAGATAATTTTTTCTAAATATTGTACTATGCCCACACTTACAGCTGTTTACATACATACATGGACACATTATAGTTCAGGTTCCACATGAGTGAGAACATGAGTATTTTTTTCTTTTTGAGTTTTATGTGACCTTGATTAATATTATACACTCCAAGTCCACACATTTTCCTGAAAATTTCATTTTTTCATTTATATCTATTCCATTTTACATATGTATTATATTTACATTATCTCACCTTACCTTTTGAGATGGGGTCTCTTACTGAGCCTGAAGCTCACAGTTTTGACAGGGTTGACCAGCTAGCAAACTCCGAGGATCTGCCCGCTTGTATGCCCAGTGTTTGGATTTGCTAAGTCATATAGCCATCCCCATCTTTTATATGGGTGCTGTGAATTTGAACCCAGGCCCTCTTCTTTTCATAAAAATTTCTCTTAGCTGATGAGCTATCTCCCTAGTGCTATCTCTTCTTGTCTTAGATCTATGTTCTGCTTTTAATAACAAAGTAGAAAAATAATATTTTATTAAAATAATGAGAAAGGAGTGTTGTTTCTGGTCGGGATGTTGACATCTGTTTGCAGCCCCAGTGTGAAGCTCACTGTGTCCCTACTATATCCTGACTTTGAAACATACCACTTGCCTTCTGGTAATTCATTTGTCTCTCTTTCTCAAGTGACCTCCACCCCATCAAACCATAGCCCTTCCTGAAAGCTGTTTGCTCTTAACAGAGTATTCATGCCTCTCTTGTGAACAAATGATCTTTCACACTGGTCTTTCTGACAAAAGAGACACCCCCTTTTCTTGCATTGAAATGTTCTATACAGTGTGGAGTGAGGTGAGAGAATAATTATCATTGTGTTTGAGAACCTGGGAGTCTCAAAGAAAAAAAAAGCAGAATCGATTATAATCTTTATAAAATTAAATTAAAACTCCTTCTCTATTTGAATTTTAATTGAAAACATCCGTATGAACCTAAGACAATATCTTTATTTTGAAATGTTGACCTATTCTTGAACTTAGTACAATGAAAAAAAATCTCCAGAACAAGATGCTATGCCTAATACCAAATGCCATCATTAAATACTATTTGCCATTAAGAGAAGAAATTAGGATCTATGAAGGAATGACTGCTTCCTGGGCTAGAAATAAACACGCTGAAAGGAGAGCCAGGGACAACCCATCAGTTCAGAAACAAATATGCCATTACACACTGAGGCAGTTCAAAAAATCCTGTAAGAAACTAGGCATGCTGTACATGCCTGTAAACCTAGAGCTGTAAAGAGCAGAGGCAGGAGAATAACTGGTACTTGCTGCTGTCAGCCGATCTCTCCCTGAACCTAAAGCTTGACTGACAGCAGCAAGTACCAGTTATTTTCCTGCCTCTGCCCTTCACAGCTCTAGGGTTATAGTGCTAGAGAGGCCCACAGAAATCCACAAAGATACCCCCACAACAGACTGCTGGCATTGGTCCAGATACAGCCCGAACTGACCTACTCTGGTGATGGGATGGCCAAACACCCTAATTGTCGTGCTAGAAACCCCATCCAACTACTGAGGGATCTGGATGCAGAGATCCATGGCTAGGCCCCGGGTGGATCTCTGGGAGTCCAATTAGCGAGAATGAGGAGGGTTTATATGAGCGAGAATTGTTGAGACCAAGGTTGGATAAAGCACAGGGACAAATGAGTTGGCTGTTTGAAACCTGGGGCCTATGCAGGATCGCTTGGCTCGGCCTGGGAGGAGGGGACTGGACCTACCTGGACTGAGTCTACCAGGTTGATCTCAGTCCGTGAGGGAGGCTTTGCTCTGGAGGAGGTGGGAATGGGGGGTGGGCTGGGGGGAATGTGAGGGGGCGAGAGGGGGGAGAACAAGGGAATCCTTGGCTGATCTGTAGAACTGAATTGTGTTGCAAAATAAAAATAAAAATTAAAAAAAAAGGAGTGGCTAAATTTGGTGTGGGTAAAGGCAATTAGAATAATGAAAGTAAAGTTTAAAACTTTAACCAAAATCTATATACTTTGAAGACGGTAATTAATGCTGGCATTAGATATATTAGAGAAATTATTTATTCACACAATGAAAATAAAATTTAATCCATATCTTTAACACTACATAAAAACCTATTTCAATTGGATTAAAGTCCTTAGAGAAATGTGGACTTTCAGATAAACATAAGGAGACAGAAAAGAATAGTTATATTATTTTTAAACAAGGCATAAATCAGGGCATTATCATGGCAAAAACTCATACATACATGTGCTTTTGTTAAAACTAAAACTATCTTCTTCATTGAAATATCAGAAGTCATGTGAAAGTTGATCCATGGATTAGATGAGATATTTATAAAATATAGATCTAACAAAGGTCAGCACATAGCTGTACCAGGCTTTTTCTTTTGGACCTCCAACCAGCTCCCAAGTTATGACACAGATACTTCTCATTAATTTTGAATTCTTGGCCTAGCTTAGGCTGGTTTTTGGCTAGCTCTTTTAACTTAAATTAACCTGTTTATCTACCTTTTGCTTCAGGGCTTATTTACTCTCTTACTTCTGTATTTCTTATTTTCAATGCTTCTCTATGTCTGTCTGTCTGGCATCTGCCTGGCTTCTTGCCCTGGGCATGTCCCTCATTCTCTCCTCTTCCTCTTTTTCTTCTTCTTTCTCCCAAGCCTAGAGTTCTCCTCCTATTTATTCTTTGTGCCTGCCAGCCCTGCCTGGCCTTTTTCTGCCTAGCTATTGGCCATTCAGCTCTTTATTAGACCAATTAAGTGTCTTCGGCAGGTAAGCTGAAACAAATGCAACACATCTTTTCATAATTAAACAAATGCAACATAAACAAAAGTAACACACCTTTATACAATTCAAGTAATATTATACAGCATAAACAAATGTAACACATCTTTGCCTGGTTAAAATAATATTCTACAACACCTAGCTACATTAAAGAGCATCTGCAAAGTATAACAGGAACAGAAATAATCCAAAAGAAATGATGGGGATATGCATTTTTCCAAGTGGGTCAGATAACTAGGACATTAACACACAGGGAAACACACCTATGTTATAATCAGGAAAATACAAATTAAAGCTATAGTGATTTTATTTTGTGTTTATCTCACTGGCAAGGCAAACATGTTTGATTTTTACCTCAATCAGAATGGCCAAGATCAATAAAACAAATGACAACACATGCTGGCAAGGATTCTGGGAAAGGGGAATACTTATTGCTGCTAGTGGGAATGCAAACTGGTGTAGACACTATAGAAATCAGTGTGGAGGTTCCTTAAATAGCTGACAATAGTTCTACAATAAGATTCAGTTATATCACTTTGGGGCATATACCCAAAGGACCTTCATACTACTGCAGAGACTCTTGGTCATCCATGTTTATTACTACTCTATTCATAATAGCCAGAAATTGGAAACATCCGAGATATCCATGAAGTGATGAATGGACAATTAGCATGTGGTACATTTTCACAGTAGAATATTATTTAGCTGTTAATAAAAATTAAATAATGAAATTTGCAAACAAATGAATGGCACTAGGAACAATTATCCTGAATGAGATAACTCAAACCCAGAAGACAAATTTTTACATATTTTCTCTTATATGTGGATGTTTGCTTTGCTTTAGATATGTGTATTTCATTTAAAATAACCATAGACATTAGGCAGTTAGTAAAGGGTCAACGTAGGAAGAGGGGATTTTCCAAGGAAAGGGATATAGAATATAGTGACAAAGAGATAAAAGGGAAACTAGAACAGGTAGACTGAATGGGGAGGGTGGTGGTGGGGCAGGCTAAAGTATTGAATATGGGGAGGAATAACTAACCCTAAAGGCCTTTTGAAATGTCATATGGAATCCTACTACTATAGAATGTTCCTAAAAAGTATATATATATATATATATATACATACACACATTATATATGTGTTTATGTATTACACATACATACACACACACACACACATATATATATATATATATAATATATATGTATGAGGAATTTAAATGGAATCATCATATAATGAGGGAGATAATGCTCCAATTAGACATATTTATGCCATCAAGCAAAACCTCCAGGAATGAATTACATCTCGTTGAGTTGTTGGCCAAAGGGGACCCATGTTCCCTCCCCAAACATCAAGGACAATTGCCAATGTCATTGGTTATCATCCACAACCTGACAGTAAGGCCCTATTGTTGAAGATATCACATACTTATAACATAGAATATGGAGAAATTGAGCTGATTCCCAACTGGACGCTTCACCCACACTAGGTG